CGGCCCACACTTTAATTAGATGCTTAAAGCCCAATTACTTAATTCCTTATTAGATCACTTTAATTTTGGGCTTAACTTTAAGATAGCGTTTATACACAATTAATTACATATGTCGGCCCATCACGGGAAATTAAATAATTTCCCAACAATATATTCATACAAACTTGAAAAAACTCCACAACGCAACACAATTCCATTCCTAGATAGTTAAAAGACTAAATAAACATATTAAGCAACACCAACAGCTTCAGCATGCTTCGATTCTGGCTCTGGTGCTTCAGTAGGCTTTGATTCTGGTTCAATTGGTGTTTCAGCAGGCTTTGATTCTGGTTCAATTGGTGCTTCTGCAGGCTTTGATTCTAGCTCAGCCGGAGCTTCTGCATGCTTTGATTCTGGTTCAGTGGGTGTTTCAGTAGGCTTTGATTCTAGTGCGGCTAGTGTTTCAGCAGACTTTGATTCTGGTGCGGCTGGTGCTTCCACCGCTTCCCAGAAAGAAGTTGCCTTCCCAGATTTTGAAACGGTTTGCAGAACAGTTTCTGGTTGGACGCTGCCTTTCACTGTCACTTTTTGCTGCTCAATATTAATGTCAAAAGATTCAACACCTGTACAAGATCGTGTAACGAGTCTATAAGATTTACTTTCAAAATATATAACCTTTTTAACTTAAAAAAAAAAAAAATTAAAAAAACGTACATGTTAAGTTGTGTACGAGGATATAGGATTTCATATAAAAGATTAGAGTCTTCAAAATGCTTTCCCAACTTCCAATCTTAAGTTATGTTCAAGGATATAGGACTTCATATAAAAGATTTGCATGCATATGTAAATGTAGGAATTTAACAAGAAATTATAGCGGCAGGATCAACCAAAACGCTGATATACTAAAAGCAACAAAAAATTATGTGAAATGGATAGAGATACTCAAGATTCATTACTCCAATGATCGTTAATGGTCGGAACCTCGTACATACTAGAAAAAAAAATTATATAGTCGACATCGAGAAGAGCTGACAAACCTTCCATTTTG